CACATGTTAATAGAATACCAGACCTCTATTTTCTATGTTTCTAAGAAGCCTATTTGTTTATGTGGTTACTGCCAGAAAAGCAGCAATCAAGGAAGAATTTAATGTATTTTATTTTCTCACTAGTAATGACATGCTTTCTTTCTGAAATTTATTTTCTAAACATTTGTGATTTCTTTTATTTCTCTTGGATTCCCTTTTGTGCCTTTTGTTTACTTCTCTCCCACACCTCTTCCTCAACCCAACCATGATTTCTATCTTTATCCTACTGAAGGTGACATAATCAGATACTTACACCTGGCATTTAAACTGGAGAAGCAGAGCTGATGAGCCTCATCTTAATTATTTGGGAAATTTAATTAAAATGTAGCTCCATATTGGGCCTCCCTGGTGGTGCAAGGGGTTAAGACGCAACCTATGAAACTAACTGCAGCCTCTGAAGCATGAGTTCCATCCCCAGCCAGGGAGATACCCACATGGCACAGCAGACCTCTCCTGACTTGCCCGCTGCTCCCCTCAGCAGTGTATTTCAGTCAATCTGCCTGTTCTGTTTCCCACTCTGTCTCTGGTGAATCATCTCACCCACCCCCCACACCTCTGGCCTGTACCCCAGTTCTTATATGCATAAACAAATAAATCTTTAAAAAAATAAAGTTCTATCCTTATACACCCTCTCCTTTCATAGTCAATAAGTCACCAAGCACCAGGGATTCTTCCTTGTAAGAGTTCATAGGTAATAAATTGTTATTTTAAGTGCAATTGGAAATCAGTTTGTTTTTTTTAGCAGGAAGATGACATAATTAACTTTTGAAAGATCACTCTGGCTTTTAGGGGTTACAAGAATGGAAACATACGGACCAGCTGGGAGATTAATACAATTATTTCACAGTCAGAACTAGAAGAGAAAGTAATAGATTTGGGATCTATTTTGTGAGGTGTCAACATGACTATAGTTAATGGTTTAGAATGAAGAGAATGGGGATGGGGAGAAAAAGGGATAAATCAAGAAATATATTTAGATTTCTATTTGGGCAACCAAATTGTTAGAATTGCTCTTGAATAAAATAGGGAACAGGGGCCTCCCCGGTGGCGCAGCGGTTGAGCGCTGGGTTGGGAAGCTGCCGGCAGTCTCTGCAGCGCCGGTTCAATCCCCGGCTGCTCCCCGGCCTCGGGAGGAGGGTCCCACATGGCGCGCAGACCTCTCCTGCCGCCCGCTGCTCCCCTCAGCAGTGTACTTCAGTCCTTCTGCCTGCTCTGCTCCCCGCTCTGGCTCTGGTGAATTCTCTCTCCCTCCCGTGCTTCTAACTGTACCCAGTGCTTGTATGTATCAATCAATCAATCAATAAATAAATCTTTAAAAAAAAAAAAAATAAAAAAATAAAATAGGGAACAAAGACAGAGGAGAAGGAGAGGAAATCAAGAGTTCTGTTTTGGTTCCCTTCTGATCTAGACATCCATTAAATATTCAAATAGAAATGAATAAGGATAGTCACTTTTTTTTTTTTTTGTGGAAGGCAAGAATCTGAAAACAATAAAATTGGAGCATCCAGCAAAGATATTTTTTATTATAAGAAGTGACTCTTGATTCTGTTTTGGAGGCAACACATTTTATTACTGAGAGAATTTTTTTATTTCCCAGAGGATCATAAAATATGCAAATACTCAGCAGAAATCTTTCTGGATGCAGAGGTGGTAGAAGACAAAAATAATGAAACATGATACCGTAAAAGAGCTACTTTGTGTTGGGTAGATTTGTGTCTGCAGATTGTATCTCTTAAAACAAACTTTTGTTTCCAAGTATGGAATTAGACTGACCTATACAACTGTATGTTATTATTTTCCTAAGAAATGGTGTCTTTGGTGATGGACTTTGGTTGAAGATAGCGTGGAATATCTATCTTCAACCAAATAGGAATTGATATTCCAAACAATAGCAGGAAGGATATGTAAGCCACAGAGTCTACTTGAAGGTGAGACATAACTGTAAACAGGAATGGAACCTGGTTCAATTTAGTCTACCTGTATTTTTCTAATTGTGTGTATTTCTAGAAAATAACTCAGGCATTGAAAAAAATGTACTGTTGCTTCACTATTGTGATTTAGCATAATTGTGTGATTGAAATCCTGGGACTACATAATGTACTGGTACTGTAAGTAGAAGATGAAATTTCTTCTGAAGGAGATAATTTCACTGTCATATTCCAATGAAGAGATTCATTCCAGTATTGATACACTTTAGGAAAGCATGTATTAAACTACAACAAATAGAGAAAAGATGTTCCTCTTGCTTAGAGACCTAGAGGAGAGGTATGGCTCTAGCCATTATTGGGGAATATCTGCATGTAAACAATCCGCTAGCAGTAAATATATCGACTTCTGCAACATGGCAGTAGAGCAGAATCTAAAGGTTCTGGCCATGTCAATGGTCATATCTAGTAGACATTATATTAATAAATGGTTCTTTTTTTTAAGATTTATTTATTTATTTATACAAGCACTGGGTACAGTCAGAAGCGCGGGAGGGTGAGAGAATTCACCAGAGCCACAGCGGGGAGCAGAGCAGGCAGAGGGACCGAAGTACACTGCTGAGGGGAGCAGCAGGCAGCAGGAGAGGTCTGCGGGACATGTGGGACCCTCCTCCGGTGGCTTGGGAGCAGCTGGGGATCGAACCAGCGCTGCAGAGGCTGCGGACAGCTTCGCAACCCAGCACTCAACCACTGTGCCACCAGGGAGGCCCAATAAATGGTTCTTTTTGTTGTTGTTTTCTTCTGTTATCACTAACATATTATGGAATTATGTAGTTGTAATAATAGGACCAAAGCATCATCAATCATTTCTTTGAAAGAGATGGTCACATGTTGTTGTTCTTTACCAGAAGTGCCAGGACAGGAAGCCCAGGATGAGGCCTTGTAATAGCTTTCTTGACATAACACAATCATTTTAGTGGTGTGTGGGACCATGAAAAATAGCCTTAAATTCAATTTAACTAGCATTAACCTAGGTTCCTTTTCCTAATTGGAAACAAAACAAAACAAAACAAAAAACGAAAGGTTGGGGGCAGATGGCAATGACAGATTTCCTAATTATCTTTAGAAAGCTTAATGAGAAAATAATTTTAAAATCGTAGTTTTGGGGATGAAATGCAAAAAGAATGCCTTGTATCAATGTATTTGTTTTATAGGCTCAACATATAAATTCTGGATTCATGTTCCATATGCATGTTGCATGAATGTGTATTCTACAATAATTGACTACTATGAACTCTCAACATTGTCAAATTGAGAGATAATGTCAATCAAGTCTCTGTATTCTCAAAATTTTTCATCTACTTGTTCTCTCAGTGACTGGAAAGTAATTTCAAAAAGTTTGGTCTTTGTCCTTTATTTTCCAAAAATTTTTCTTTATATATATTAAAGTTATTTTGTAAGGTGCATTAACAATAAAAATCATTATGAATCATAAGATTGACCTTTTAATCATTATCTTACTTATTTATTCATGGTAACTCTCCTTGTCTTGAAATCTACTTTGATATTTATATAACTAAGCAAGTTTTCCATTTATAATGGGTTTCCAGTGATATACTTTTTGGTCCACTTACTTTTAATTGATTTGTATCTTTATATTTAAAATACATATATGTAGATATAAAATGGTTGATTCTTGCTTTTTTTAATTGTCAAAGAATTTTTGCTCTTTTAGATAAAGTATTTAAAATCTCTAGTCCATTTACAATTATGTAAATAATGATATAGTTATATTTCAGTACCATCTACTATCTTTTAATTTGGTTCCTCTTGCCTTTCTTTCATTCTCACTCATTCCATATAGTCTAATGTATTCCTATCTCCTCTCATGAATTCCACCCAAGGTTGATTGAAATATAATTGATATATAATATTGTGTAAATTTAAGATGTACAATGTAATTATTTGGCACACATATATAATACAAAATGATTACCACATTAGGGTCACATATATCATTTCACATAAATACCTTGTGTTTGTGTGGTGAGAATATTTAAGACCTATTTTCTCAGAAACTTTTTAAGTATATAATAAATGGTAAATACTTACCCTACTTTAGCATCGGCATTATACATTGTTTCCATTTCTAATAGGGCCCTAGAATGGTGCATTAAGAAGGATAGAGGTTATTCTTTTTTAAAAAAGATTATTTATTTATGCATACAAGAACTGGGATACAGGCCAGAGATGCAGGGGGGTAAGAGGATTCACCAGAGACAGAGTGGGGAAAAGAACAGGCAGACTGACTGAAATACACTGCTGAGAGGAGCAGTGGGTGAGACAGGAGAGGTATGCCTCACAATGTGGGTTGCTCCCTGGAGGGCTGGGGATCAAACTCATGCTGCAGAGGCTGTGGTTTGCTTCATAGTGCAGTGCTTAACCCCTTGCGCCATCAGGCCTCAAGGATAGAGGTTATTCTGCATGGACCTTGGAGCAGAGAAGATTGGGTCTGCTATGGCGGCTGAAGCATACTGCCTATCTTATCCTCAGGATTACTGTCTTGGTGAGAAATCAGCAGTACTCATTCTCTGAAATTATAACTTTCCAGACACTTAGAAGTAAAAATCCCAAATCAAATAAAGGCCGGGAGCAGAAATCTAGTGATTTTCTTTCTAGTCTGAGCATCAAGTAGGATTTTACCTGTTCTTCTATCTGATTTTATGCAACTTAACTCCAGAATCCTAAAAACAAACAATATTATTACTAATAACTCTGAGTGAGAACCACGGTCATTTACTAGGCATGTAACACAATATTAGTAAGATATAAGCAGTAGATTCTAGTAAGTCTCTACATTTCTTCTCACTCATAGATAGGTGAGAAAGGAAACTCAGTATGGCCAGGAGAGTGGCTTTGATCTGATTTGAATCTCCCTGTTATGAGTTTGTGTTCTACATAGTTCAATGTGAACCTGACATCATTACTTCATGCCTTGTGAAGGCTCCCTTCTTGCTATAATCTTTTTTTTTTTCCAGGGGAGAGCGCGAATGCAGTCCCCACTACCACAAATTATACAGTCGAGTTTCCCACATGTGGGCAAATCGCAGGGAGCAGCACATCCGGAGTGCAGTGGGCAAGCCTCGCCCTAAGAGAACCACCTTCATGATCGTGGTGTCTCCCCTGCCAGGTAAGTATTCTTGCTATAATCTTTAAGACATGAACATCCTTTTGAGCATTCTAATAGTAGAAAAGAGGGTTTAAATTCCATTCAACAAAAATCACTTTCTTTTTGTAGTGGAAATGAAAATGGATCTCTCATTGCGCAAGCAGCACAGATGAAAAATCACTCCCTTTGTTCCTCTAACAAATAGCACCTGTCAATATAATTGACATTTGATAACTTTATGCTTACTATTGAGTCAGTTATATACATTGGCCAAAGTAGATGTTTCCTCTCTTTATAATTCTGTTTCATGGCACATGAGGTTCACAACAATAATGTGGGGTGTATAGATATTGAAAATTTCCCCTAGGGTTTCTGGATCTATGGTCCTTCCCCTTGCACATTATAAAACTAATGATTTTGAGGTTAGAAGTGTAAAAGCTACCTCTTCGGTCTGTCAAGAAGTCAAAAAAGATGCAGTCAGAGATAAAGCCGATTTTACAAACAAGGTTGAAAGTATCCCATGTTGTAAAAACATGGAGGCAAGAACTAAGCAGAGGTCACGGTTTTTGGCGATTAATGGGTATTGTTAAGAAATGCATTGCGATGCTGTGTTGAAAGGGGGCAAGGAAAACATGGGAGTAGCTCAAGGATTATGGTTGTAGTAATAAGATTATGTTTGTACATAATAGAATCCAAAGAAAAGAGTTTTTCTTGAGATGTATCTTAGTCCCTTTTTAAACTGAATAACCTAAACAACAAAAATGTCTCTCATGGTTGTGGAGCCTGGGATCCAAGACCAGGGTGCCAGCATGGCTGAATTTATTGAATGGTTTCTTGTCTTCCTATGGAGAGAAGAGAGAGATCACTAATACCAGTCATTCCACTCATGATCTACTCACCTCCCAAAGGACCCACTATCAAATACCATCACACTGGGGAATAGAATTTCAACATATGAACTTTGAGGGGATGAAAACATTCAGTCCATATAAAGGATGTCCTCAAACTTCTACATTACTGTTCTAAGGCTTTATTTCAGAACACCTTGAAAAAAAGTTAAAACAACCAACTGAAATTTTGCCAAAGTACAAAAATTTATAATAAAAATTTTCAATGTTTAAGGTTGCCATGTACAGTCTTAGGTAATACGGAGAAGACATCAATTCCTTCCTTCAAAATGCTCATGATCTAATTTAAAAGAAATATCAATGAAATTAAAATTCCCTCTGTGGAGTAAAACAAGAGTTTCATTCTATCCAAAACAAGAGTCAAACATCAATATTTGATTCAGAAGGTCTATAGCCCTATAGTTAAGGAGATTTGCCACCTCCCAATTCTTTCTACTCACATTCACAAATGAGAGAAAAGGACAGTTATTGTAACTTGGCTCACAGATAAGGAATCAAAAGTGCAGAAAATTGAGATGCTTTGTCAGATTTATACAGAAAGTATACTTGAATTGGAATTACCTTTTACTCTACAAGCCCAATTATTAAATATGTGGCTCGAACTCAGATACTTTACTATTATTTAAAACATAAAATGTGTAACTCCATGCAGGTAGAAAGACACTGTATATCAAAAGTTCCTAAAAATCTAGATTTCTTGAAAATATGAGATACAATTAGAGTCTCATATTTACAGGTCACTGTACCCTAAAAAAGGGAGAATACACATTTTTCTCAAGTGCACATGGAACATTCTCCAAAATAAACCACATTCTGGGACACAAAACAAATAGCAACAAATTCACACAGACAAAAATCATACCTAGCATCTTCTCAGATCATAAAGGTATCAAAACAAAATCCTTTAATACATGGAGATTGGACAACAAAACACACTAGTAAAAGACTACAGGATTAATGAAGAAATCTAAGAAAAAAATTTTTAACGCTCAATACAAATGAGAATAAGCACACTAATATACAAAATTTATGGGATGCAACAACAGCAGTACTCTGAAAGGACTATAGAGTAATACAAATCCATATCCAAAAGCAATAAAGACCTCAAATGAATAACCTTCTTTCTCAACTCAAGGAATTAGAAAAATAAAAACAAACAAATCTGAGATCTAGTCAAACATAAATAGTAAGTCAAAGCAGAATAAATGAAATAAAAATTAATAAACAGCCAAAAGATCAATGAAACCAAAAGCCAGTTCCTTTAAAAAAAAATAAAATAAACACAATAGACAAACCTCTAGCAAGGCTCACCAAGAAAATAAGGGAGGCATTGAAAATAAATAGGATAATAAGAAAAAAGGAGAAATCAAAACAGATGCTGCAGAAATTCAGAGGATAATTGGCAACTACTATGGATATCTATATGATCGCATATTCAATAACTTAGAAAAGATGGACAAATTCTTAGAATTATACAATTATCAAACACTGAGTAAGTAAGGAATAGAAACCTTGAAGAAACCCATCACAAGCTAGGACATTTAAACAGTAATCAAGCTTCTCCAAGAAAACAAGAGTCCAGGACCAGATGGGTTCCACAAGTGAATTCTGCCAAAACTTCAAAAAAGAACTAATGCCCGTTTTGACCAAACTCTTCCCAAAAATTTTTTAAAAAGGAATACTTCCAAACATGTTTATGAGGCCAACATTACTCTAATACCAACACCAAATAAAGACACCACAAAAGCAGAAAATAATAGGCCAATCTCTGAAATGAACACAGATATAAAAATTCTTAGTAAAATTGTAGAGAATTGAAACCAGCAATGCAATAAAACTGTGAGGGATAAAGCTAAGGGAAATAAGTCAGAAGGAGAAAAATAAATACTGCACAGTGCCATTAATATTTGGAATATAAAGCAACTAAACTAAGAGTCAGAAAAAAACAAGGTTAAAACTAAGCGTTGATAGCTGACCAAGGAACTGAAGCACCAAGGTGGGGAAGTGTTGGGGGAGTGGTAAGAAAAATGAGGGAAGAAAGCACAATGGACTATGATAGTGTACTGTGGGTGATATGGTGGTGGGTGCACTACAGTGGCAATAATTGATCTAAATAGCACCTCAATTAAAAATAAAAATCAAAAACTAGAATCTCACTTCACAGTTAATTTGGTAAAGTGAAAATAAAACAAGTAGGGAAAAACAGATGACACAAATACCAATAAAATAAAATCCAGGTGTGTCTATATTTTATTTTTTTTTTTAAGATTTAGTTATTTATTTATACAAGCACTGGGTACAGTCAGAAGCACGGGAGGGTGAGAGAATTTACCAGAGCCAGAGCAGGGAGCAGAGCAGGCAGACTGACGAAATACACTGCTGAGGGGAGCAGTGGGTGGCAGGAGAGGTCTGCACACCATGTGGGACCCTCGCCCAGCGGCCTGGGATCGAGCCAGCGCTGCAGAGGCTGCGGGCAGCTTTGCAGATGAGCGCTCAACTGCTGCGCCACTGGGGAGGCCCCAGGTGTATCTATATTAATATCTTGTAAGTTACACCATTTTACACCAGTGCCAGAAGGAAAATAAAATAAAAATAATCGAAAATGAGAATGTATTTGACAATATAATGACCAAGAATTTCTAAAAATAAAAATGAGACGGCCTCCCCTGGTGGCGCAGCGGTTGAGCGCTGGGCTGCAAAGCTGCCCGCAGCCTCTGCAGCGCCGGTTCAATCCCCGGCCACTAGTGAGGGTCCCACAGGGCGCGACAGACCTCTCCTGTTGCGCCAGCTGCTCCCCTCAGCAGTATATTTCGGTCAGTCTGCCTGTTCTATTCTCCGCTCTGGCTCTGGTGAATTCTCTCACCCTCCCGTGCTTCTGACTGTACCCAGTGCTGGTATAAATAAATAAATAAATCTTTAAAAAAATAAAAAAATAAATAAAAATGAGAAACACCCACTGGAAACATATCATTGAGAAAATGCAAACGATACAAAAATTTACACCATAACATCTTACAGTGAAACTTAATAAAAAAACATGAACATAAAGAATAATTTAAATATCTCTACAATGTCACAAAATTATAGAAAAATAGAGTATTATAAAAAATACTATTGGAAAGAAAAAAACTGATCACTTAAAAAAGAACAAGAATGAAATTAATAGTACAATGATTACAACAGGCATTGCAGCAATACTTAATAGATGCTGAAAAAAAAACTGAGTGTGCTGGGTTCTTGGTAAATATCAGCTGCCTTGCTTGGTGAATGCCGATTCTGGGAAGCAAAGGAGTACATGGTACCTATTTATCTGATTTCCTGATAACTTGTAGATAATTCTGTATAAAGCTGATATGAATGCACTGGATAGCATCTCCTATTGTTATTTCTTTTAATGATATGGTTGTTTGATATTAGATAACAGCATTTTGAAAGCATTAACTAAGGAATAAAGGGGCCTATGGAAACATTATCTTGCTGATGTGAAGAATAATCCTTTAGTGTCAATAGAAATTATGACTGTATACACCTTTTGCCCCTAAGCTGAAGGAAGGACCAGAAATGAGTCAGTTTCTGCCAGGCAACCTCAAAGATATTATGTAACTCGGACTGCTTATCTCATACAAATATTATATACAACAAATATACTACGGAAGATGAAATTAAAACCTTAACCATTCTAAAAAGCAATCTGACAGTGCTTCACAGAATTGAATATTTATAATCCATCTAATCCAATAATCACATACTTTGTTTAGATTTATATCAGAGAATGTTTTTGGTTTGTATAAAAGGTCTATAAGGGACCATGTTGCATTTGTTTATTGAATATGTATGTGGCAGTTAAGAGCTGGGGGCAAGCTGTACATTCATCTCTATGTTAATAGGAAAGTTAAATTCTGTGGATGTATTTCTCTTCAATGCCATGTATTTAGAAACCACAAATAAAATATTTCTAAAACAGATAAATATTAGAATATGTTTTTTCTAACAAAAAATGGGAAACTGAAGTTACATAGCACATTATTATTAGTAGTAGTATTTGAAATTAGAAACAAATACATTTGAATTATACATCAAATACATGTGAATAGATGACTATTTTAGATTTTATGGAACAT